TCTGATGAGACTGGCAACTTATATTCCATTTGAGACTGTATCTCAAAACTTTTTTGTCAAGAGATCTCTCACTGCTGCTCTGAAGATCTCATTATTACAACCTGACTTGGCATCTGATTCAACTTCCAAATACAGGTACAGATCATAACCCAAGTCAAATACTCTTACCTTAAGAAGCAGTTTACTCTTGTTATTTATTTGTTTTATTAGGCCCACATTCTTGGAGAGATGGGACTACTTTTAAAAAATATACATCTTTCAGTTTCTTCTTTTTAACTGCTACCTTTGAAGTACCTAATTCAGAGATAGCACTGGCTACTTGCAATATTTTTCATAACTTTTTAAAGCAATTTTTTATCCTGAAAATTATGTGTCAATTATTATATTTCATGATAATATTTTAGAGTCTTCTAGTCCAGTGTCCTACAGGCTGTACTGTAATACAAGGCTGGTCTAAATTTATTCATATTAGACCTATGCCTATGCATTATTTTTTTAAAAAGAAGTTCATGTTTGTAAAAATCCCGTCATAGACAATCCCCCAAAAATCTCAGTAAACTGCTCCACTGTTTTAATGATCTGAGTTTCTTACTTCTGAGTTTGACTAGCAACAAATTCCTACTTTAGAAATTATTTAATCTTTTCTTCTGGAAAGAAGGCTCTGTAATCTGGATATGTACAGGCTATCAGTGAGGCACTTCATCTTTTTTTTTGGAAAAGTTAAACAGTTTGGGCTCCTGGAGACTAACTTTTCAGGTAAATTTTCCAGTTCTGTTGTCAATTCTATGAAAATTATAAATTTTTTTTTGAATGACAGAAGTTTTTTAAGAAATATAGATTTAGGATGAGTCCCTTACCCTTGCATGTTCCAGAGTCAACAATACGCTGGATATGTGTGTTATGACATTGACCAAGGAATAAATGCGTAACAGCATGCAAGAATTTAGATGGTCCATCAGGCAACTTCTTGGAGGGTTTTCCAGGCCAGTAGGTTTTGTTTTTTGGCGTACTTCATGCCTCTGCTGAATCCTGCCTTTGCATGATGTAGCTACTATGTAGCTGAGGGTGGTATGTCTCCAGGCAGAGCAAACTCATTTGAACCCACTGTGGTTGATACAGCTCAGAAATACAGAATTCAGAAACCTTCAACAGTGAAGCCAAACTAATTACTTGGGCAGACAGGACCCTCAAAGCAAACACTGATCCACACAAAAGCCCACCTAGAATTTCTGTGCATAGACCACCTCCCTGGGTATTAAAACCAAAATTCTCAACTATGAAATTCTATTGTTAAATGAACATAGGCTATGAAAGCTTGTGCACCATCATAAAAAACTGCAGGACTTAATTTGATTAAGACATATACGTGTCAACATCTGATTGATCTCTTAGATTTTCTGGCTCCATCCTGTACCCATCTGCTACTGTAGGATTTGGCTTCAGTGAGTACAGAATCAAATTATGTTTACGAATTCTGAACTAAAGCTTAAGCATTTAAATTGTCATTGTCAAGAGGCAATGCCAAAAATATAATTTCTATATAGTGCTATATGCTTTCCAGGTCTGTGCCATGCAGAGAGAATTCACAGATCCATGTATGCTCTCACTATCTTTTAGATAGAAACTGACATTGCATTTACAAATTTTTTTGTTCCTCAAGCTGTAGTCTACTAAGTACTGGTAGCCCTTAAGAAAAACAATTCAAGAAACTTTTTTGCTAAGGCCTACCAGGAATTTTTTGCTATTACCCTTAAAGATGGAGTACTTTTTGAAGTTTGTATGGTAACTAAAGGACTGTGACTTTCAACTTTACACATAATACTTTTCTGCAGGTGCGGGTTCTTTGATGTCTGCAGTTAAACTGACTACAATCTTCAGAATTGCTTTCATAAAATATCCTATTTTTTATTTGGAACTGGCAGGTTCAAATGGCTGAAAAGATGAGTCGAGGCTTTTATTTATAATCTGAAACTGCATGGTTATTTGTTTAATGTGATCGAACTTTTCTTGTCAATCCATGTTCTCACTTTCTGTATATTTTGTCCAGGAATAGTTCTGGCTGCTATCAGCACATTTGTGGCAAACTAGATGGAATATCATTGGTTTTGAAGTACCGGAAGATATTTTTCAGCTCTTTAAATGTGTTGTGGCAGTAGGAAACATGGGATTCAGCTGGAAATAACATTGAGCCAACAGTGGATGAGATAAGGTTAAAGTGACAAATCACTCAAGTACGGAAACAAAGGAGGCAACGTAGCTCAATTTCTCATTTCCTTTTCCTCTCCTGCAGAAAAGTCAGAATGATACATGCCAAGCAATAATGAAAAATGCTCATAAGATCTCATTTTAACTATGTTGAGAGCAAACCACGAAGGTACTACCAGTGGTTCTCCCAGTGAACAAAGTTTGCAATAGAACTCACCATCACCATTGGCACAAACTAACACTGGTTAGCTCAGCAGAGAAGCTTGTGACAGAGTAACCTAGGGATGTGAGTGAGAATCTTTGAAATGGAACAATATGCACTTCTATGTCAGTGCTTTTTATATTTCTACATATTTTGGAAATCATTGTACCCACAAACTTGTGGAGGGAAGAGGACTGTACAATCTTTGAGATCCTTCTGAGGGCTGTTGCCTCCTCCTGAGTTTTTGCGTGCTCCTGTCTCACCATCAGCCCTCACAGCCCAGTGCTGACTTGACTCACCATTTCTCAAATCCCATGTTAAATTCAGAGCTCAGCAGCAATCATGTATTAGCAGAGACAGCTCTTAATTTACCAATTCCTCATCTGACTTTTGTAAAAGCTAACCTGGAAACCATACTCCAGGCTTATGGTTTCAGAAGCTCCCATACAATGGTATTGCTGGGTAACAACAGTGCAATAAAAGTACAGTTAATATTGGTACTTTCTCTGTTGTTTATAAACATTCAGCTCAGCTTATCAGACAGATTTTATCGCTTTCTGGGATAAAATTCTAGAAAATAAAAAATATACACACGTAGAGCTGACAATGAAACACAGAAAAACTGTTCTGGGTGAAATTTCTGACAGACTTAAAATCATCACTGAGCCCAGCTTTTAGAATGACACAGACTCTGACATCTGAATCCCACCAAAAGGAAGGGCTAAACTTTTAATGCCAAGGACTGCAGTGACTCTGCAAAGGCTTAGTTTCTTTAAAACATGCTTTTTCTCTTGAAGTGACTCTAGTGCACTTTGATGACCCGCTGAGGGAGATGTAGCCAAAAAATGCTTATCATGTCTGAGAAATGAAAGTGGGTTCCAAGAACTGGAAGAGGGGACATAAAGGTGAGATTGTATGACGCCCATAATCCTCCAATTACTAAACTACTTGTCAGCAGGCCAGCAGTTGGTGTGACTTAGAACAGCCTCAAGGTCTCATGGTGTATGTTGCCTGCCAACAGCTCCAAGGAACCAGTTTAACAATCACAAACCAGTGTCCTAGTTCTTCTTTCCTCAGGCCACATGCCTTCTCCCAGCCAAAAGGAGGAGAGATGGCACTGGTCCAGCTCTGCCAGCACCTCTCATGGTTGGAGACACTAGCAAGGACAGATCTGCAGGGTTTATACAGCTTTGTTCTGTAGAACAGAAACTGAACCTTTGACTCCTGAAGATATCTATCTTCAGACTATACAATCCTCATTCTGAAGATGAAAGGGCTGCTGAGGTACCATTGATTGTTTTGGAAATTATTTTCACCAAAGAATGCTGGTACCACTCCAATCTGAATTAACAGACTGCCAGGGCTGGAGCCAGGAGCATTTCTCTAATAACAGAACAATGATATTACTTCTTATTTCACTTATTCCACAAATCACACAGCTTGATAGCTTGGAAAAGAAAAGTTGCTGGTACCCATATTTCATTTTAGTGTGTATGAAGGCATCCACTTAATCTGATTTTTAAGTACAATAGTAAGTGTGAATGCTCTGAGAAAAGTCACACTGATCACAAAATACATAACAGACAATTATGGGCCTTAAGCCTGCAGACAAAAACATACATGATATACAGTTTCTTTCATAATATCAGGAAGCATAGATTGCTGTTCCACAACTTGTACTGGATTTTGTCATACCTTTTGAATAACCTCACCACTTAATAAAATGCTACAGAGTAAGTAAAATAATAATAATTGCTCTCTGCTGTGTCTTGTAAAAGTGAGTATTACTTCTATGTTTTTAGCCTATTCACTGATGTGTTTTGGCACTGATTCTTCTACATAACAAAATAGCACCATCAAACACCTTCCCCACAGCTTTATTGTAGTATACCTACCCTTCTTGCCAATACTGGCACTCTGTTATGGCCACATTTGGTACAGAGGGCAGGGTGGTATTTTATGCCAACCATCTGAGACCCTATGCATGTTTTATCTTGACATAAAAATATGTTTCCTTTTACAATGTTCATGACAAAGATATGCTTCTCTGACTTATAATATTTTTGGCATGATCAGTTTACTGAGCTGAGGATAAATCAAATGGTCAGCATCATTCTGAAGCACAAAATGCTCCAAGAAGAGGGCACTTCTGGGGTCTTTTCTAAAAGCAGTCAATTTCTGCTTCTATGGCCCATGACTGGGTCCCTTTATATGGGAATGTTTCACTTGTAGCCGTCGAGGTCTTCACGATGCACTGTCACACAAGGATATGAACCCTGGAGTGCTCCTTGGATTTAAGTTCTGAGTGGGAGTCCTTGAATAGTCTTGTGCTGAAAATGGACAAAGACACCGCCTCCCTCCCATAAAACCCCCAAAACTTTAACAAAAATGAACAAACTTAATTAAAGGAGCTACTTGGCTTCTCTGATTAGTCAAGTTCAGCTACAGTTCCTTACACTAACCAGAGAAGTCTTTGGTAGAGGGGAAACAAAATTATCAAGGAAATAATTTTCTGTATTTGATCTTATCCCTTGGTAGCAACTGCTGATTTTTACTCTAGAGATTTCTGGAGCACATGATATGATTACACACTACAGTTTTGATGGCCATGCCTCTCAGCTGAATTTTATTTCTCTGGTGGTTTGTCTGAAAGGTATGGGTGCATGCGTGTGCCTTCATGCACACACACACACACACACACACACACACATTTTATTGATGCGTGTTTGTGTGTTAGCAGGCGTGTATTTGTATGTATGTGTGTTACATCCACTTCACTTTGCAGGTTTTGGTTTACAGGACCTCTGGTGGACGATCAGTCTGTCTGGAAGAAAAGTACGCCCACAAATATCACATGGAACTAGCTGGGTCTGGGCGCTGCTCCAGGCTGCCTCATTTAAAGAATCAAGATCATAGAAACCTTTGGCTGGAAAATTAGAAAAAGAAAGTATCAGCTTTCATTCTGGAGACCCACATTCAACTCTTTATGGAAAATATTTTCAGGAAATACCTGTTGACTGAGCCTTTCAGTTTAACCAAACCATATTGCTTTTGCAAATGAAAAAGAAAAGAAAGAAGCAAAAGAGTAAAAAATACATAAAAAAGACTCTGTTTTTTGTCCCAGGGGTTGAATTAAATTGACTTCAAACTGAATAATTTTGTATTGTATGAAAAAACATCATGCTGTGTGTTATGATGTGCATTCTAAGTTAATTACTAACATCTTTACACACATACTATTATCAGCAAATTCACTTTTTGGCTTCATTTCAAGTTCTGTTTAATGAGCATGTGTTATCTGACCATGGCTACGGGTGGGAATGTATCATATTTGAGAATATGCTCTTTGCACTGCTCTGGACAAGGGGCTCAATTTTCTTCCCATTGAAGTTTATGCAAGTTTTGCTAAAAATTGGAGTAAATCTTAGATAAGGCCAAAACCTTACAGACAAAACCTACAGTACTTTTAAGCCACAACTTCCTGTGAGGTCATTGCACTGATGCATCTATTGTGATCTAAACACTAATCCAGTCTTACCCTCAGTTATTTTCCACTGTGGGAAGAATGACTGCTTCAAAAACACGGGAGCATTCTTCAAACACTCAGATGTATTTTCAAGATTTTATTTGGGTATAAAAAAAAATCTTGTTTACTTTCATCTTGAAATTGACTTTTCTTTTCACATACTATTGTCTCAAACTGATTTGCAAAAAGGCCAGGCAGGTTGCTTAATACCTGGATTTAGTTCTTAAGAGTTTTCATTTGAAGTACGTGCAGAAAAAAATCCACATGGCTTGAAGATGTACTTGCTTCCCCCTTCTCAAATAGTATGACAATATAGAGACAGATTTAAAAATCTAGTTTTTTTCTTTGAACTTTTAGCAGTGGACAATTTTTAAAAGAAAGGCATTTGTGCATTTAAAAAAAATTCCATGGTTTCTGTCACTGGCACATGATAGAGCCCTTCATTAAAGGCCCATACAATTTTAATATGATTCATATCCAGTGGTTCACATAACCACAATAAGCCTTAGATCTCTTAATATGCCTGTTCCTAATGTTCTTTTTGTTAGAAGAGCAACCAAGTAGTGTTTCTTTTCTTGGCTGAGACAAATATCCCCTTTGCTTGCAGGAAATGAATGTGTATTTTCTGTACTTTGGTGAGTTTATGGAATACAAAAAAAAAGGGGGGGGGGAAAAAGAGAGATAACTTTCTCCTTGCAGGCATGTGTTAGGCATTCCATAAACAAAACACTGTGTAATGAGGGCAGTGGTTGTCTTCTCGTGACACTTGAGTTTTCAGAAAAAGATTTATGTAAGTTATAAAAAGTTTTATGTAAGCAGTTAATATTTCTGAGTTTTTTTTGAACATTCAACAACATTTGTTTCATTCAACAACAGGGGTAATCCCTTCTCCCTGAGCTGAGAAACTGTGAGACATGCAGTACATGCATGTGGTCTCAAGGTCAGTTATAGCATTTACCAGATGATCGAGAGTAACTCTTACGGAAAAAGAACAACACTGAGATTATTTTCTTGAGGCCAGAAGTATGAGGCAACTGCAGGGGGAACAACAATTTTAGCTCAAGGTACAGAACTGATCAGGCTTGCATCAGCAGGCATTTGGGGACATATGCTGGAAGCAGGTCAATGTCCCCTGGGGAACCATGGGCACACAACACTTCACAGGAGATGAGAGGCGCCTGATATGACTCACTGCATAAGACAACTTTCTGATTCATATCTGGGAGCTTTCTGCTAGACTGTTTTCTCAAAGAGTTGCTGTCTTTCTGTTTCCACTCCTTCAAAATAAGAACAGTGTATTTAAAAAAAAAAAAAAACAGATTTGTCCTTTTGCATCCTTCTCTTTCTCATGGAATTCTCATTTTCTCCAATCTGTTTTACCCCAAAATGTGTAATAACTAAAAAGTGTTTAACATCTAAAAGAGCAAATACAATGAAAACATCTTTCGAACATATCTTTTACTGCAGATTCAACTCTGCCACTTGGCATCTGTTAACCAAGTTCTGATTTGATATTATTTGATCTTTGATTATTATTTTGAACAGCTGTTTAGTGTTCTTCGTGATCCTGCTCTCCTCTGTGTGTCTTCTGAGGACATATTTCTTTATACTGCTGTAAACTGACCTAGTGTATGACTTGTTCACAGTGAGTTGTAGCAGACTTTGTCTACTTTTCCAGACATTAGGGGAAGCTGAGGGAAATTATGGGGAATATAAAAAAAAGCATGTGTGGATTAAACGCCTGTGAGGAAGTGGTCCAAACTTGGCCCAAAGTAGCTCAGACCAGCTGGCAGAGCCAGGGAAAGCATCCAGAAGAAAAGGTGAAATAACTTTACATGGGAATAGGGAAGTCCTGGGAACAGCTTCCAGGCAACGCACAGATAAGGATTTGGTTTTGGTCCTACAGTGAGCAAATCCCCCCTGGAATACATACCAGAGCCTATCTCTGTGGGTGCTGGGGATCATCAGTGTTTGTTGATTCGAAGAAGTGGAATCTTACAAAACAGGATCCACAACATAAACATGCCAAATTGGCAGAATTATTTTTTTTTTTACTACCTGTATTTTTTCTTCACCATGTTTATATTATAATATCTCACAATGAAAGCTTCTAATACTTTTAAATAAAAGGGATCAATAACATCCACTGGATGTTGACTGCAGAAGAACATAGCTGAAGCATCTACACCTATGTTGCCTGAGGGTATTTCATTTTAATGACTGTATGTGTCAAGTCTGCACATTATTCTTGGATGTTTTTGCTTATTTCAAAACATACCTATCTACAGTGTTGAAAGGAGTCAAAAAGTAGTGATGTAGTGTTTTGATTCAGAACATACTGACACATAAAGGGGACTGTCCCAGGAGCCACGTTCCAGAGTCAGTGACTACTCTTACTTCTCACGGATGCTTTACAGAATAACTGGATACTTAATAAAAAGCTTAAAACCCGTAAACTGAAGAAAGCAGTTCTTGCAAACTGTTTATCTACTACTTTAAATTACTTTTTCTTTTTTTTTTATTCCTCGCACTTTCTTCATCCCATATCTTAATTTAGTATGTATCTTACCTTGCACAATTCTTACTTCAGGCTTTTTAGGTTCTGGCCTTCTCAAGTGCTTGGGTAGGTTGTCATTCTCCTGGTGCCATTTTTTCAGGCATTGTGGTTCATGAATACTAATAGATTTTGTTCCATACTCACGACCACATATGTAACAAATCACTGTTGGTGGTCGTTTTATCACTTTTGCCTGCAAGTAACAATGGTGAAGAAGAATAAATACTGATTCAACATTAATTTTGAATCAGAATGACTGTGGATGAAAACAGTCATGTAGATAAGGAACTTGATACTTGTGAAATCAGTGTAACTGTTTCTATCAATTTCATTTTGTTTGGATTCAGTCTCGAAGCTTGTAAGAGATATCGCCTCATCAACAGGTGGGTTCATTCTGCAGATACTGGACTGAAAATTCATGTGTGTGACTAATACTTAGCTATGTAAGTTTCATCTCCTATTTTCACACCTTCAAATTCATGGAAATGCTCAGTCTTCACGTGCAGAAACAACTCTGCTTCATCAAGTTGTTGAGGAGCAGCATCCATCTTAAATGGTCAAAGCCCTTTTTTACAGACCAAGCAGAAGTAACACGTAAAGCAGCAACAAAAGCTTCCTCAGCTGAACACAGCTGCAGTAACAGAAAGACTCCATCTTCTGGCAGAACACAGCTCAAACCACTGTGTCCAGCCTTAGTGTCTCTCTAAAGCTGGACAATGAGGGCAGCTGTCCCAAGCAGTGACTGTGGTCCCTTACCCTATGTTACTTTTGCCACAGGTCAGTTAGTTGATGGAATTCTTGGCCTTTAAGGATTAAAATCAACCCAGGATATTTCAGGATGAGCAGCAAAATAGGAATTGCTGTTTGTTTATCCCAAAGGCCTCAGTGTGAACTTTGCCAGTGACTGTAGCGAGTGCAGAACTGGACTCTAAGCAAGTTATTGTTTTCACACTTCAAATATGCTATTGTTCTCAGAAAAAAAACAGCCCAACAATGGAAGAAAAAGATTCCTCAGCCCCAGACCTCACAAATACATATTCTAAGGCTGAAAAATGTATAATTACTGTGGTACGGTAGATTATGGACTCGGCTGTGTCCTTAGGCATGTCCCGGACTAGGTGTGGTGTCAATACCAGCCCTGTTCCAGGAAGTAGAGTAAAAACACACTGTAGAGACAGAACTTGGAGGTACACAGATGGGTCTCTAACTGCAGAATACCAGTAAGAGATGAGCTATCCCCTGCCCTCCTAAACTTAGAGGACAGCCATGCCAGACCAAACATGGGAAGCCTTTCTCACTCAAACAAGGGAGGTGGGGATTTAATTTTTTCCTCTGCTGCTGTTTAAGACAAAGAGTAACCTGTTCCAGTATTTATGACTCTCTCTGTCAGCCCATCAGTGTGTTCAAGAAATTCTGGGCATTTCTTCTCGCATTTACGTTACAGTCTGAAAATGTCATTAGTGAACAATCTGCATAAGCTTGCTTTCCTGTATCACACATGTAATCTCAATTATAAGAATACTACTCTATAAAGTGTATTTTTGCTGGGAAAAGGTGGACTCAGCCTAGAAAGTTCTCACAGTGACTTGAAATACAACATCCAAAGACAGTCTCTCCAAGGAGATTTTCAGCCTCTTGACTTTCAAATGGAATTTTCTTAGCTACCTTTGATAACACAGTATTTATACATGTATATTTTCCAATAAATATAAAAACATATCCTTCTCCTACTTGTAGGTGAATATATCAACAGCTATTGTAAGAACACCTTCTGATTTTTCACTATCAATTTTCACCTACTTCTTTGCTTCAAGTCTTGAGCTAAATCTTGTCTGATTTGGAGATAAGACTCTGGGTCCAGATGGAGTTGTTTGACGGCACTATATGTTTATTTGTAGGCTCTGGAGAGGTTTAGATAAGGATACTATTATCTGAATTCTTGAGGTCAGGGGACTCAATTCAGTGTGCATTCCTGTTTTGGGCATGTTACAGCATTTTAGAAATGGTTTCCTTAAAAAATGCTATGTGTAAAATCACTGGGAACACATTTTCCTTACTAGTGTCATTAGCTAGGTTCCTGCCATTCACTAAAATAGGTTATCTATTGGCTGAAAACTAGGAAAGAGCAATTTGATTTGTATTCGGTCTGTAGGTACTCTTTATATACCACCAGAAATGAAAAAAGGAATCCTGGTCCAAATGCTGTAGAACTCTGTTCAAGTAGATGTGTCTGTCTTTTGTAACTTCCACAATAAAAAAATGTACAGGAACAATAGCAGAGACCAGAATTAATTAAAAGGAATCAGGTCACTCTAAGGATAGAATTATTTTTTTTCCAGAAAAATAGTGAGTTTGAATCATCACCACACATAAAATTATATTCACAAATCCTTCTCTGCACACATGTTAAAAACCTGAAAAATAAAACCTGAAGGAGATTAGCCTTACAATTGGTAGTAACAGGTTTTTCATTTTTTAACTGTGGAATCCAAGATATGATAAGCTTTACTTGGAATTTCTACAGCTGATGATATTTACCCTTCATTTCTTTTTCTCTTCAGAGTGTGCTTATCCCAAATGTCACATCTGGAGGCCTGCAGTTTGAAATGAAACTATTTTTGGAAACACCACAATTTTCCAACCCAAACTACTCACAGGCCAGTGGCTAGGCTGTCTGCTCACGGCTTTGTTTTTAACTTTTAAAAAGGGTTGTAGGGAAGGTCTGTTCCTGAGGATATGTGTTATTATAAAAATACCTACAAATACCTAACAGTGTAGTTAGGCTTTCCTCTGGTGTCTCAGTATTTTCTTTTTTTCTCCTAGACTGCTAAGTATGTCTGCGTGACCATGAATGAAGTTATTTAGCTCAGAGGGCTATGCAACTATGTATTTTCAATAGACCTGACATTACTTGAGGTTAGCCCCAGGCTGCTTGTTATGGTGTTACATGAGGTCAAATCCTTCCATACTGCACAAAGCTTTTAATTTCTTCTTAAGTACACACAATAAGACTGTCTCCCAAACTCCACTACATAAATATTTATCATCCAGGACTGCACACACCTCTGCCTCTCCTATTTGTTTAGTTATCCAAGTATTTTAATGGGAAGAGGGGAAGCATCTTGCTCTAGGACAGAGCTCTCATCATAGACTTGAATTGCCCAGGGAACAGAGGCTCAAGACAAGATCGATGCAAACACTTAGCAGCACCATTCTGTTGTATGACAGCAGCCCTTTTCATACACTCCTCCCTGGAAAGTAGAAAGCATTTTGCACAAGGAACAGGGACAAGCTGTGGCATGGGGCTCATGACTATCCAAAGTTGCATTTCACACCCCACTGGAGCACTTTCAGCCACAACACAACAGCTCAAATGTTAGGACTAGTGTCCTATATGCCTGTGTATAAAATTTATTTGAAAAGCAAGGTAATTTTGCCAGATGATGCTGGTAATTAAAGATATTACTACACTGGGAGCACTAGAATATCCCATTTTGCTCCTGATGTGTTTTATTTTAATTGAAATACATCAGCATAATGAACATGGCTTTTTTGTACAAAAAGAAAGGCAAGAAACTCAATCACTCCCAACGATAAGTTTCATTCAAACCATCTGTTCACTATCCATTCTCAACTAACTTTCCATATTTGAAAATTTGTTTGTCAGTATTCTCCTAAAAAGGTGTTCAAAACCACTGCAATCAAGGCACACAAAGCTTTTCATTGACTTTCCACCTTCATTAGAATTACACAGCATCTGAAGGAGTCTTCCTTTTACCAAATGCCTAGACAGCTTTATGCTAGAGCAAAATACAATATCAACATTGTTGCTACATGAATTGTCAAGGTTTATGCTGTGTTAAAATGCACTGCAATACAGCAAAGGAAGATCAGTGAAATCTTTTTAGGTAGTTCACCTGATAAGAAGAAAACAGCAGATGGCAGCACCAGATGCTAGCGATACATCAATAGGCTTCCAAGATCAGCGTTATCTATTGTCAAAACACCCGTAACTCATATACACACAGCAAGTCACTGGTGCTCACTTACACGTACCACACATTTTTTTCTATGAAAGAATAAAACACAGACTCTGTTCTAGTGCAAGTCTCAGTTTCAGTAGCTCCAGACACCACTTCTATTTTTTGGGGTATCACAGTAGAATTTCTGAGTCTTTAAGCATAGGCAGTGGTTTGGTTTACAAAGCCACACACGATCAACTCAGATGTGTTCACTGATTCTGAGAGCAAGGGCAGTAAGTGGAAGAGATGGTTTACAGAGGCTGTTGTGCCTCCACTTCTAAAGGCATTTAACGCAGAACTGTGAAAGAGTTTGTCAGTAATGATACTGGTCTAGTTGGTCCTTCACTTGCTAAAGGGGAGGGAGCTCCAGGACAGAGGCACACAGACAGAAGTGCTTGCAGCTGTAAAGTTAAAATGCCCTTCACATGGTGTACTACTAAATCAGTCAAAACTTTTATTTTCCAAATGAAGATAATCCAGCTTTTTCATTTAGGGCATCTTTCGTTGCATAAATTAATTTGACTGCAGCATTACTTCTCTTAAATACACTTATACAAGGGTTGGATGTTTTTTTCAGTTAGTCTTTTCCTCTGATGTTTTGCTGAATCAGGACTTTAAATAAGTACTTAAATAATTCACGATCACAGCAAGTAAGTCTGTTGAGACAATAGCTGCCCCAAATGCTTTCCAGACAGGACCAAAACATATTGCCATTTCACTCCACTAATGGAGTACTATTTTTTAACAGAACTAATAAGTAGCTGAGGAGCTGGTAAGGTGAACAAAACTAAAAACATACGTTGGAAAAAGATGAAGACTGTAGAGGGGACACAGACCTTGTCCCTGTTCATAGCAAATCTGCAGATCTTCCATAAGCTTAGTGCTTTTCCACATCCTTCCATCTGTGGACCTTTCAAAATTTTCAACTGTAAATAGAGAGCCTCATGCAGAGAATTTAAACCTATGGAAAAGAGGCTTCCTTTGACCACTTCCTATAAGCTGTCTGCCAGTCCTGAAGAACCACTTGGATCACAGGATATTTCTTTCAGTCTTTCTGTTCTGCTCTCTGCCTTTAAGGTGAGCCTCTGCACAAAAGAACGGCTCTAAAAATATAAAAATGAAAGACCTCAGAGAGGTAAAATCCATCACCCCTTCTTGAAAGTCATTGTTAATAATAAAGTCCCTTAGAGTCTATTACAAACTGCAAGCTGTACAGCCTCATTAGTTCTGTTGCAACTGATGAACTGTAACTGCTTGGAAGTAAATGAGGAAACCTGTCGTTCACACAGAAGGAAGAACAGATTGGAACAGATTTCACTCTGGCTCTGCAGAGCTCACAGAACTAAAAAGTGGTAATAATGTTGTTGTTCAGCAAGTCAGCAGATGTGACTGAATCCACACAGGGAGCAGATATGTTGTGCAAGAGGGTAACGTTTTTACAGAAACACTGTCAATGCCAAACCACATTCTAAACTTTTTTCTTTTTTTTCTTTCTGATGGCATTATAACTATAGCCAATTCCCCCACGCCCTTGTTTTTTTTTTTAAACTACAGAATTATGTGCGATGGATTAAATTCTCTGTTTCACACCCATGCCTTTCATTGAACAATCACCTTTAGAGCAAAGCCAGTTCTTTGGTAAAGGGTACAGTGTAGTGTAAAACAAGAACATCACCCTTCTTACAGCTATAGATGCAGCTGTGCAGCACTTTGAACTCCTTGGAATTATTTGAAATTTGCTGATAGAAGACCTAAGGAGTGAACCTTAATTTGCCAGTATCTATCAGTTAGTGGCCTCATATAGCATAATAAAAAAATAGTTCCTGTTGTCTTAGTCTCATGTGAGCTAGGGTAATGCTATTATCTTTATTTTATTCAGCAGCTGGTAAACTAACAGGTAACACCCTTTGATTTCTAAAGCATCTTTAGAAATGTTCTGCATACCACTGCATTCCTTTGGTGACTGAAAGAGCTAAATCTCATTTTCAAAATAAGGTAGGCAAACAGGATTTCAATCCCCATTTAAAAAAAAAATAGAAAGAGCTGTTTAATTTAGACACTGGGCCTAAATTTAGACAACTATCTTACAAAACTCCTGGCCGAAAGACAGCTTGTGCAGAAAAAAATGCAGAAAAAAATAAGCCATTTTCCAAAACTCTGTATAGTTTTTGGATAATGTGAATCAGCTTCTTTACTCTTGGATCTTGAATCAAATTCAGTGGAAAGAAATGTGCAGTCCTACTTATTTTGTTGTTGTTAGACCCAGAGCTGCTGCCTTTGAACATGCAGTCCTCAGTAAACTCATGTTCCATGCCAAGGTTAAGAAAAATGGTAAAATATGAAAATCATATTTTGGAGTGCTTATGGGACAATGAAACACTGCTTTTCATGTTAATTAAATAAAAATACCTAATATCTGCTAAAAAAAATAACATCCAAACCCTGCCTAAGCTACTCAATAGAATTGTCTAGGGAGCTATAGCAAACAATGGTCCCTCTTGGGGCATAACTCTTACAGGACCACAAAGAAGGAGAACTCAACTACTCCCTTTCAAAAAGAAAGTTGAAACAAATAAGAATAAGCAGTTTCTCCATGCACCAAGTATTCCACTTTTCTTTTTCTACTATTCAGCAGATAAACTTTTTCATGGAGCCTAAAGGTCTTTCTGAAGGAAAGTGATTTTAAATTTGATGGGAAACCAGTCTCCCCTGGAGATCCAAGCATCAAGATGCATCCACACACTTTCATATAGCACATGCTTAGCAATTTACCTGCGCAGCTGATGCAGTCCCACTCATTCCTTGATGGTTCTCAGATTGATCATATCTTTCTGAGCCAGCTCCAGATCTTGGTCCTTTACCAGATTTATGAGCGCTGCTACCTCCTCTGCAACACCTTTCATGCACAGGAAGACGCTCAGGAAAAAAGGTTCGGCCACAGTTTCCACAGGGTACGAGTTGAGCTTGAGCACTCTGATAAGCCGCCTCATTTTCATCTGTAAGTGTATAGGAACCACCAGGAAGGACCTCAGGTTTCCTGGGCTCTGGTCTTCTAAGGTGCTTCGGTAGTTGATCGTTTTCAATATGCCACTTCTTTAGGCACTGGGATTCATGTATAGAAATAGACTGTGACCCAAATTCTCTGCCACAGATATAGCATATCTTGAAGCCAGGTCTCCTTGGTGGGAAGGGCGTTTGAGACATGTTTGAAAAATCTGACAGTTTTGATGCTATTGCAGTGCCTGGTCACCTTTACAGGGGTCCAGCTTCTAGATGTACTACTTTGGGAAAATTTCTGGGAAGATCTGCACGTTAGATCTGCCAGATGATGCTCTGAGGACGAGGTATTAGAGATACTAGTAGGGGCTTCTCCAGGACTTGACAGAGCACTACAAGTTTTGTTCACATTCTTTTTCCTGGCATTTGTTTCCATGAAGGGTATGACATTTTGGGAAATTTCTCCCTCTCCTGCACATAAAGGTCTTAGGAAAGTCTGCTATTCAGAATGATTCTACATCTTCTTAATCCATTTTCATGAGCCAACATATATTAGGGACTTCAAAGCTGGAACACTACACCTAATAGCTGTTTCAGTAGAGAAGGGGGGTTTCTGTGTGTTTTCCGTTTGTCTTTTGTTCTTACATGATCCTGAAACAAATGAAATTAGTACATATTAATATATGTCTTCTTCCTTGTTAAGGTTACCAACCAGTGGTTTACCACAAGGAACCTTAATACTCTTGTACTTTTAAATAGCAGATAAATAACATCAAATATATCCTTACCCTTAACGCGCAGTTGAACAATGTAAACCCAAAATTCTAGCCTCAGAGGACAGAAAGTCGTGAAGGACATGAAAGAAGATGGATTTGCACAAAGTGAAGCTGATGAAATGCAAGTGGTTCGGAGTATACTCAATAGGATTTATTTTGAGTTATTGATAGAACTGGTATTTCTAGCACAGTCCTTAATTTTATAAAAATAAGCCTTTATGTTGATAGTTAAACATAATTTCCCTTTCTCCAGAGAGATAAGAAAAAGTCCCTTAGCAGAGGGATGTTAGTGTCCAGTCTACAAAGGGACTGTCAGAAAGGAAAATGTTTCCAGTCTGTAGGTTGAAGGAAATTATTAGGTCCCTTTATTCAGCACTTGTGAGGTGGTGGCTCAAATTCTCTAACCAGTCTTGATTCTCCCAGTACAGGAGAGCTACTAATAAAATTGAACAGGTTTATTAGTAAGAGCTAGTGACATGCTTTGGGGGCTGAAGCACTATGAGGAGAAGGTAAGGCAACTGCATTTGTTTAGTCTCAACACAGTACTAAACATATTTCAATTTTTCACTGTGCAGTCTATCCCTGTATACAGATAAATCCATCCTGTATCCCTTAAAAGTTCATTTCTTATAATATTTTAACCTGGTCCTCTAAGGATCAGAAAACAAAATTCAGACCATACGTATGTATGGTAGATGCTACTGCTTTATTGCAAGAAAAAAAAGTAGCCAGCACGTTGCACAGATAGGCAACTGCCAAGGACAGTCTACTTTTTCTGTAATAGAAGAAATGGTTGGCTAAATGGTCACCTTGTCCTTACCAAATATTCCAAACTTCATCTCATTCCTTCCAAATTTTTAGGGGGTTTCTAACTCACAAACTTATCCAGAGATTCCATTGACCTGTCTTGGTTCACTTTCTCAGCTACAACCAACCAACCTGGTGGATCTGCTCTTTACTGTGGATCTGCTGTATTGTTATGTCACCATGGAAGACTTTGTTTCCACTCAACAGCCTTTTCACCCTTATCACTCCCACCTCTGAACCCATGGGCTGAATTTTACTATCCACAAGGGAAATGACGCAGTTTTTCAGATGACAAACTTAAACTTTATCTGTGCCACAGAGACACACTCAGCTCATTCTAGTCTCTCATAAATATTCTAGGGGATGTCTTAAGGACATGGGCAATAGTGAAAAAAGTCGTCACACAGGTTCATGTGCATAGTCATCCCTCTTACCAGGCACATAAAAAGTGTTTAGATTGCTGCATTGACACTGCTTGCTTAAATACTCACAAAGCTACATATTCCTGGGATACTTTCTTACTTAAAAAAAAAAAAATCTTCTGTGAAGCTCAGATTTATTTGTAAGGCAAATTGGAAAATGTGAAGACCATCAGACCCAATGTGTGATTTGTACTGGAACGAATCTCTGTGAACAAATATGTTGCACTTAGCTGTTAAAAATAAAATTCTTGAGGGACTTTGCACTCAAAGTTAACACCTCATCTAAAACTCTATTAGATAACTGCACTTTGGGAAAAAATATGGTAATGTACAAGGATTTAGTATCCTCTGATGTCTCAAGCTATCAGGTACACATACAATGTATGTTGAAGGTTACACAAAACTGTAGCGCTGGAATTTTTAGTTCAGATATCAAAATAACAGGTTCAGCAGTATGTGAAATTTAAATCTGCAAACTAGTTTTGAGGCTACTGTACTGCAATGCTGTTTCAAGGACTGGGACAGTTTCCAAGGAGGGTGGCCTGTTGGATGAATCCAAGTTGGGAAGTAGCCAAGCTCTTTAGGAGGATGAAGGGAACGGAGAGCCAGGGAAACATTAAAGGGTCATGAAGGCAGGGGAGATAAGGGTTATTGGCAGGTCACAGGAAGAGAGCATCAGAAAGTTCAGTTACATTTCAGGGAACTTCTGAACTTTGTAAGGTCCTATTTATGTCCTATTTATTGATTTATGTCAGACCGAAACTTTCTGCTACCTGAGAGGATTCTTAAAGCAACAGTGAACACTGAACTGCCTGCCACATGAAGAATGTTAGGTGACTAAATCTGTTGCCATTAGGAATGAATCAGTCAATAAAAGATGCTATAAACAATCTATTAACAATACAACTTATTGTTGGATTTCTAAGCTTGCTATTGTAAATACTTCATAACAGAATTATGTTTCCTTGTGGGGATTACACCATTTGGTCTACATTTATTCCTGCCAAGTTGACTGTTATTATTTGGAAACTTCCTATAAATTCAGTGTGAAATGAAAAGGAATATGAGCAGTGCAAATTTTCTCTTGAGCTCAGTGGTAAAGTTGTGGAAGTAAGTCAGACTGTGATTTTGCATTTCAAAACATAAAACTTCCTTATGTTTTCCTTTCAAAAATGTTGCGATATGTTTTTTAGTAAAGTGGGAAGGTACAGTTGATCACTGCATATAGCTGTGGGAAAGCATTTCTCTCCTCTGCAGTTCCACTGAGGACAATACTTAAAAACAATCTCATGAACTGCAGTGATAGGTCATTTACAACTAGTGAAGTTAAATTTAATTAAAAACAAGTGCAATACTATGGCTAGTTCAGCACCAGGCTGAGAGCTTCACTCTGACCAAAATAGAACAGAATGACAAGAGTGCAAATATCTCAGTACATCTCTAATCTTCTTGTCCTGAAGAGGGAACTGGAACTCTTGCACATTGTTTTTAAGCTTCATCTAACCAGAAATTGCAATAGCATTATTATCCATGCTTCACTAATGCTGCCTGCTCTTAGCTGCCATGTGTGATTCAACCTATACAAGTAAGTGGAAACTTCTTCCCTGAAATGGCCTTCTTTATGTCTTCTTTTATGTCAGTGTTGGAACTTGGAAGCAAAGTTGACACATACGTTTCCTATTTCCTGTATGCAGCCCATTTCTGAAGAGCGACCCTCTCTGTTTTTCATCTCTCTTGATTCTCTCATGTAAACAATTCCTCAAAACCCATTATAAGGTCATTTTATAAGCCTGGATTCCTTGACTGAATTGAAGAAAACATACTTGTGTTAGCTGGGGAATTAAACTGGCTGTTTCCAATGAATTCTCAACACTACTGCTTTTGACTTAGCTAGAATTCCACATTGAGACCTCTCAGCTGAAAAAAACAGAGATTACCTTATGGAAGAACACATTGTATGAAGCCTCCTACTACCAGGACATAACCATGCTTATTAAATGGACAAAATAAAAGAACAGTTGTGACAATTTTGTACAGTTTATGGATGCTGACTGATATCACAGACTTTCCATGTGTAGCTGTAACAGACTGTAAACTCTGTTTAAACTATATGGCTGGCTTACTGTCATTGTTCTCATCTGCCAGCACAAAAAGGAATGAGATAAATCCTTGCACCAAATAAAAATAGAGCTAAAACAAAGGTCACAGAGCTTTCAAGCTTATACATGTCAAAAAACAAACCAAAACAAACCCAAACCCCCTTTTAACTATGTTTGACTCCATCTAAAAGCAGAGACAATTTTCAGAGAAGACCATAAACAAGCAAAATAAAAATTGGGAACAACTGATTCCTTTACTACTTTTTTTAAAAACAGTTCTTGCAAAAGCTATGAAAAGGATTTATATGAAGTACTTGCTTGAGGTTACAGTGGCTTAAATCCAGGAGGCTCTTTGAAGAGTTCATCTATAGTTAGAGAGCACTTACAAAATCAGGACTCCTGTAACAGAGTTATGAGAAGGTCAGCATTGGTTGATCTGCCTGAGGAAGAGTATGAAAGGCATAAGAGATACATTAAATGAAGTGGAAAACATAATGCTCCAAAATGGTGCCATCTGAGTACAACAGCCTGGTGGAAGCCCAGCTATAGACCATGCTGTCAGTGCCAAAAAAAGAAGAAACTAATTTTAGCTTGCAAAAAAATACTGGTTAATTCAGTATCTTGGATTCAAGAGTTCTTGGCTGTGTAAACCCTTGTTTAAGCAAAGCCCCACTTCACTCTGAGTTCTGCCTTTGTTTTCCCTTTCTTCAACACTACACTTAAGGTTGTATACTCATTCTGCCTGTTCATCATGCCTTGCTTGGAGCCATAAGCTTTCTGTTTGTGACATCACAGTTGTTGTTATGTGGGTCAATTAATAAGGACGATTCATATATATTGGACTAAATTTGCAAGTATTCTAAAGGAAAAGTTTTTCAGTTGTAATACCTAATTTTACTGTTACATAAATTTGAAATATCTCAAATAGCTTTATATAAGAAGCAACAAGCAAAACTTCCCGCACTACAACAGTACCCAAATATCCTGGTTTCTCACTCTGCGATGGACTGTCCATAAAGACAAAGGAGAACAACAACTCAGTCTAAACAACAACTCAGGATGAGAGATGCAGAAAGAGAGAGATGAAGTAAGTGATCTGCTGAGCATAACAGAGCAAGTCCGAAAAAGAAGGAAATTACTCTAGATTTTCTAGCACCCCAATACTAAATCAGGCCAGTCGCAGGATTTTCTAAGGCTGATTCCTAACTTTA